GACAAAATTTCTCTTTATGACATCAATACAGACAAGGGATGAAAATTAAGAAAAATCAATTAGGAGATCATTAATTGATCTGATTCTCTGTCTTTTATTGCAGTTTTAGCCAACAGTCAAGGCATCTTATTAGGAAGGGTGAGCATTACAAGCTTGCCACTGTTTATCCGGCCAGCCTTTGTAATTTAGAGTACATTAGAATTGATGGTGGCTGGGGAAGGTACTCTCCCTCGCAGCCGTTTTCTTTGGATGTCACGCAACGCTCCCCCAAAAGAACGTAAGAGTAAGAGTTCTTTTGGGGTAGCGTTGTGTGACATCCAAAAAAACGGCTGCGAGGGAGACTAGGGAGAGGGGGGAGGAAAAGATGTGAGGAATTCAATTGCAATACCCCTCCCCTCTGACCTTCCTTTTGATCATCACTCAGCCACTTGGCAGCCTTCCGCCATGTTTAAAAATAAAGAAGGTAGCTATAATTTTCACACCAAGCACTCGCTCACCAAAATCACACCTGGTCTGCAGGCTATTGCACTTGTATCATATTCTCTGACTAAGAGAATCCATTCTTACACCAACAAAAGGAGGTGCACTGATATAGTGTATCTCCATTAGACATTAAGGTCCAATTTGAATTTTCCTCCCTACCTCCTTTAGCATCACATGTTACTCGTAAAAACCGCTACAGAGTTATTCCCAGCCTAATTAATGCATATCGCAATCACATCAGTCAAGTTGTCTGGAATGCAATGCGATGGAGGAAGTCTGGGAACTAAAAGGAAGTCAAGATGGCCGCCAAGCCGAACTGTTTGATAGTTTGCAGTTCTGCAACTCAAGGTTCGAATAAAATATTGCGTCATTTAACTTAGATAAATAAGAAATAGATAGTTATTTTACTCGAGATCCTGAGAGTGTTTTTGTATTATGTTTATACGCGGAAAATTAATATAAAACATTGACAGGTTTTTCGCAACTTTGAGTATGACCAAATATACCTTAAGCTTTGCTTCTCTTATTGCCTGAAAAGTGAACTGAAATTTTTAATTTGACGGTCAACAGGCGTGTCAGCTCAATCCTTCATTCATGCATTCACTTTGACGCACTCAGTATTCAATGTTCAGATCGCAACACCGCAAGTAAGTAATATGTGATTGGTACACTTGCCATTTGTCAGTTAATTTGTAATTTATTTCTAAAAATTCTCTTTATTTTGTTGCTGTTTTTTTCGGTTGTTTATTGAAGAGGAATTTGAAAATTGTTCATTTTGATACATGTTACATGTAAAAAGTAGGCTAACTAACAGATTGAAAATTCAACAGGTAAAAGGATGGATCTACCAGTTTGAAAATTTCTTTTTCCCGTCACGCTGAAAATAAGGGAGAACACAGCTATGTGTGACTCCCTGTTACGTCGAAAAATGTTCGGAAAATTGATGTAGACCAACATCTCTGACAGGTTATTTATATAGAGACTTTAAAAATCACGTAAACCGTAAGCAGTAGTCAGATGCATGTGCAGGTTGGCTCTTTTTTTTTTAGGGTCAGCAGATAGATTTTGTTAAATCAGATGACAACAGCAGAAAGTGGTTGAATGAGTTTCGAACCAAACAATTTTCAGTTGCTGGAAAACTTGAAAATGTTGATGGTGAGCATGAATTTTTTAAGAATAGATTTTTAATTTAAGTGTGGATACTGTGTCCTCTTCACTGTTTTAAAGGCATCATTGCTTGACTTGAATTTGATGGTACAATGCATGAATCCATGTATTGTACTATTCAAACCTGAACATGGGAACATAGGAATACGAAAAAGAACACTTTTTCCATCCAATTTGTGACTTTTGCAGCAATATTTGTGAATCAAGAATTAAATTTCTATAGGCCATCATGATTATAGTAACTAGCTGGAGCACTCCTCTATGCAAACCATGCATTTTTAGATTTCAATGTTTTGTATCAGTGTATTGGAGATTTCACAGTTTACCAGAGGATTCACTCTACACTGGTACCAATTAAGTTTATTTTCCAAGAATAAGTTCTGAGTGGGGGCCTTTCTTGAGATCATACATTTAAAATTCTAAATTTTTTACTTTTGTTCTAACCTATTCCTAGCATCAAGATACGGTGCAGTGCTTATCCCAAGTGCTCCAGGAGCCCTTCATGATCTTGCTCAAGACAGCGAGCTTGCAAAACTTTTGAATACATTTGTCCACGAAAAAAGTGAGTAGACTTGAGTATTTATTTGCTGCTTAACCCTTAACTCCTGGAAGTGATTAACATGTAACTTCTCCTTTTGATATCCATACACTATCCAGCAAACAGGTAATCAGAATATGCAAACTAGTCAGGTAGAAGTTGTTATCTTGATCTAATTAACACCAAAATTATTGTTACTAATAAACAGGGAAACATGTAGTAGCTGAGGGGAGAGTTAAAAATGGGATATGTTGGGAAATAAAGGGTTAATCATGATAATTTTCACAATTTATGAACACTAGTTATAAAATGGATAGGGCTGGTTATTTAAACAAAGTTAAGCTGTTGTTTAACTAAACCCCATTCTAAGCCATCTTCAATTTAGCCAAACCTTTTATCTGAATTAACATTTATTTTTGTTAACAGCATCAAGGGGACTGAAAGCTAATAGTGGAAGGACATTTATTTAATTAATCAACCCTATTAAAGAGAATCCTAGTGGTCCACTGCTTGGGTAAAACTGTGGTTTAGGTTTAAGACCCAGTGTAAATAACCCACCCAAAGGGTCTATAAAAGTCATTTTAATTGGCTCTTTGAAGAATTGGTCTAAATTTCAAGTGTCTCAGGTTTTCCTAAGTATATTTTTGTCGTAAATGATAATGTTTACCCTGCCTTTGTCCACTTCCAGAGCCCATTTGTGCCATTGGACATGGTGTTGCTGGACTTTGCTCAGCAAGGAGAGAGGATGGAAAATCTTGGAGTTTCAAGAGCTTTAGCTTGACAGGGGTAAATATAGCAATTATAGATAACATCTAGTAGTGCATAATTTACACCCCTGTACATCTACATTTAGGATGATTCCATACACGCTATATTTTTCATAGGCTTGTGAGTCAGGCCATGAAACTTTATATACTGTGAGTTGTAACCTGTGGAGGAGATAATAAGAGGGTGTCATTGTGCTACTGAAAAATAGATCTGGTAGTACCAAAAATATATTTATAAAAAGAAAAGCCAAAGATGAATGGTGGAAGAATATTTGCTTCCTTTTTCAGAACAAGATTTACTTATACTTATGATAATAAATAATTAATAATTTTATCAATTTCTATAGTGCATTTACCATGTAATGATCTAATGTGCTTTACAACTGTGCAGGGGACTTTTTCCAGACTGCCAGTGGCAGTTTACAATCAACAGAGGAGAAATTTTACAGGTGCCCCCTCTCCCCAATTCCCAGTAAACAGGCCAGACCATCTCACAGTGATCTTGTGATATGGGTTCTTTAATGTCCCCTACCTAACCAAATTGGTCAGGAGCTATTGAGCAAAAGTATACTTTGACATAAACATCACTGACAGAAGCCATCATATGTTATTTAGCCATCAGTTTTTGAATCGGCTCGTTCAGCTGATTTTTCAAGTCTACCAATAATCCTTGAAGACTGGATCAAAGATCACGGAGGAACATACAGTGGTGAGTCAGTTAGTTACAGAATATTATAAGATTTTTATAGGTTATTGCATGGGGCCAAGTAAGATTAAGGATTAATTGCACAGGTGTTTTCAGAAGTTGCAGAAATTGTGTGAGTTGCGCAGCAACATGGGTAATTTCTGCAACTTCTGAATATACAAGCAATATTAATCCTTAATTTTTTGTAAAAACAAGCAATTACTTGTTTATTATAAAGGGCAAATTTTTCTTTTATAACCAAGGAAGATCTACAACACATGCTGAACATTGCAGGTTTGTTGGAAGCCATTTCAGTGTTCAGTTAGCGTGAACTAACACAAACTAGTGAACCATAAAACACATAAATCAGCTGAATTGAATTGTTTGGTACAACAACACCAAAGCAACGCAAAATAACCATTTTCTGTCAACAAAAATAAAAAAATTTTGGCAGAAGGTATGCCTTTTTTAATCTTTTCTAAATTTTGGTAATTACCCAGGGGCTTTAAATATCCCAAGAAATGTACTTCATTGCTGCAGTTACCATCACTAACTATATTCAGTGTTATTATTTACTAATTAAATCCTCAACATATCTTTCAACTAATAGAATATTAAGAAAGATGGTAAATTTTGAATGCAGTTTGAAAATAATGGCAGATGTTCTTTCATCTTGTCACTGCAGGTGTGAAATTAAGAAAAAGATTCCATGATTCCATGCTCTGGTGCTCTACTACAGAGCTAATGAGAGTTCTATGGCCAGGGCTTGACACTAACTTTTCAACTCACTACAATTTCAGTTTGTTTACTCGCCAAACTGGCTAGTGGACATTGAAAACCACTAGCCAAAACTGAATTTCTACCAGTCTGTGGCTAGTTGGCCAGTGTTAGTGTCGAGCCCTGATGGCTATTACCAGATTCATATGTGTAATACACATCCAAATTAAAAAGGTGTCCCAACACTGGGTAACAGTTGATAGGATGACTTAGACAGCAAACCTTCCCATCTTAGTAAAGGCTGATAGTTTCTAAAGAAACTGTTTGGGGCTGCATCGGTGGGGGTAACGAAATAATTTGAATATATCAACAAAGTTGAAATGGTAAATTGGCCACCGTTACGACTATAAAAGCTGACGTTTCGAGCGTTAGCCCTTCGTCGGAGCGAAGCCCTTCGCTCGAAACATCAGCTTTTATAATTGTAACGGTGGCCAATTTACCATTTCAACTTTGTTGATATATTCAAATTTTCCATCTTAGGCATGATTTCTATTTCAGCCAGTGAACCAGATGGGATGCATGTCATTATTGATAGACACCTTATAACAGGACAAAATGACACTTCAACACTTTCAGCTGTTCAGAATCTTATTCTACTGTGCAATGCAAGGTGAGGAAGGATTCTTCCTAAACAGTGTTTCATTATTAACTCAAAGTTTTAAAGGAATACCAAAAAATAAAACATCCTAAATATATATTCAATATCATTGAATTTTTAACAAAAGTGGAACCTTAGTTTAAGCTTTAACTGATTTTAAATGCTCAGGTCCTTACTAACTGAAGCTCTTGTCCTCAATTTTTTTTTTTTACAGACAAGGCAAGGCCAAGAGTTGAGGCCGACTCAGATGGACAGCTTAGAAAAATTGACAATAACTTAGCCTACTCAACCATCAAATGACATGGTTGACATCACTGTTTTCAGGATACTTTTCAGTAACAGAAGTTGATAGATGGGTTTATGATTGGAAGCCTGATACAATTTTATTTTTAGGAGAATATATTCTTAATTTCCTATATTGATATTAAGTTTCATGTTAATCACTTCTGGGAGTTAACTTTTTGGTGGTATTCTGCAATTATTTTCTTCCTGCAGAAACTTATTTTTTCAAATTGAGGACTTGCAAGAACTAAAAGGAAAAAGTATTTGTGCCACAATTTTGGTCTACCGGTGAAAATAAAAAGTTTTGCACAAACTTTTTTCCTATCTCAGTCCTCATTTTTTGTTTTGGTGTCAGCTAGGTTTCTTTTGTGGTATAGTGATGTTGAAGACAGCAGGATTATGTTACCAGGCTAAACACAAGAAAGGCCAACATCTCACTATCAAATAACAGAGGGCTTAGCATGCATATTCCTATAGTAAACCATAGGGAAAGCTGATGTGTGTGGGGCTGAAAGAGTTGCTTTGAGTCAGTTCAGAAAAAGATGTCTGGCCCCACACTTACACAGCTCTTTTTCATTTTCCAATAACATGAATCAAAATTGTGGACTTCCAAGTCAAAATAAAATAAATGAGAAAAAGAGTTCTGCTTCTAAGTGAATTGTGAGTTTCTTGTTCTGACTTGTATTACAATAAGCATTCAAGTACAAATGATTTGAAATTTTCAAAACTTAGTGGCCATGCAATAAAATGCTTATTGACTGTTTGTTTGGACTGGATGGGAAAATATTCAGCTGTCAATTTTGACAGAGAACCTTGTTACACTTGATCTGTAGGTCTTTACCTCAAGCTGAATGTTTTTCCCATTCAGTCCTCATTCATTAAGTACATATTACTGGTGACAGTCAAGATTGCAAACTGTTATTATTTTATTTGACAAACTCACTCTCACCCAAATTCATTGATGGTTCAAATAGTACAAGGGATGTTAATTATTGACAAAATTGACAGATTTTATTACTCTTCATCTTTTAATACTGTTACAACTGATGGTTTTTAATCCACAAATTGAATTTTTTCTCATAAACATGTATGGTTTTTAATACTAAGAGCATTGTTAAACTTGGCATAACTGATCATAAATCACGACTCCATTCAGCCCATGGTATGGAAAGAAACTTCGCTCTGACTATACAGGGGTTTCAATACCTTTATTCATATGTGGCTGTTGATGGTGCAGTAGGGGGGCTGTGATGTGAGGCAAAATCCAAACACCATGGCCTGCTCACAGGCTGAACAGAATACAGAAAGAGGTCTTAACCATTTAACTCCCAAGATCTCATTGGTAATTCTCCCTTCTAGCTGCTATGCATTTCCTTGGAAATTGGTTACAAGAATTTAGCATTCAATCAAGGTGACAACTTGTACCTGATAAGTTTGAGTATTCTCATTACCTGTTTGGTGGATAATGTATGGATATTATAGGGACAGGCTACATGTTAATCACTTCTGGGAGTTAAAGGCGCAAGCAGTCATGGACTGCTAGTATCTGGCTTTTCTTGAAACCCCTGCAACTATAACACCAGCAATTAAAAAAAAAATTGCTAAAACACAGCTAGCTTGAATATGTGTTCTTTAGTATCCAAATGGAATGATTAGCAAATAGCATCTACGAACCCAGTCAGCTTCATTGTGATGTCCTGTGTTCCACTTAATGTTCTCAGTGAGCCTTGCCATGTTTTTTTTTTTTACTTTTCTATCTATTTACATTACAGTTGCATTGTGAATTACTAATAGACCTTCTGTACAAATATTGCAGCCACTAAAATGAAAGATTATTTTCTAATAATAAAAGTTTCCACAATCACTTTACTTTTAAGCTGCTTTAACGTAGGAAAACTATATCCATAGTTGGAACACTGATTCATATATACTTTTACAAAAATTTTGTGCCATCAAATCTAAAAGACCACAACATACCTAAAGATTTAGGTTATAACTTGGTTTACCCCTATGCACATGAAAGTAACTAACATCTTTGACCCAGAATTATCATACAACTCTACTTACAACCAATTTAGTTAATTTAATTAATGACAATTTTTAATTTAATTATTTTACCCCAATTGAATATGAAACATACTGTGATGTAAACCTTGAAAACAGCCCTATGGAAATGGCCTCATCTGAACTAACAAAAATAGCTTCTGGAATGTTCTTAAGCTCTTAAAAGCAGCATTAAATACTTAATATGAAATACTGTGTCAGTAAACTGCTAGAAAATATCAAAAGGTAACTATTGATATCCATAAAAGATTACATCCCCTCTGGCCTTTTATAAGGGTTATAATTATATTTATAACTGCTCATAGCAATTTAGCAGCTTATAAGCAAATCAACTACCATAATATCCTGGTTAGGAGCCCTCAGCTTACCCAATGTTTTGAGGAGTTTACATTGGGGGCAGAGGATTAAACTGTGAAGGAAGAGGAGGACTTGGTGTGTTTGTGAAGAGGGGGAGGGGGGGGGAGTTAAAAAAAATATGACAGCATGCACTAATGAAGCACAGTAATGTATAATTACAGACTGAAGAATAAATGTACCGCTGTCTATACTCCAGTGGAGCTGGATGAAAGGGAGTACACAACACTTCACCTGTGAACTGCAAACAACATTTGTGTTGGTTGACACTATCGCATGGATGTGTAGGATAAATGTAAATTAAAAGACAATCACAGAAGTAGTCTGCAGGAATGAAGAATTCCATTTTCTTTCCAAGCATCTAAATGAACTCTTGTGATTCTCACTAAGCCTTTATGTCTAGTGCAAACTAATGTAGCTCAAAAAATCTGCTGACAAATGTCCTTCATAAGTATAATCTTCAGATGACCCTGATAGATAAAAAAGATCCCACACGTAGGAAAATATGTTTTACAGGATGCTCTTCACAACAGTGGAACCTTGACACCTCGCTGAGTGAGTCCTTCAAATCTCTTAAATGTGTAGTTTAGGAAAACCCAGTCTTTACTGCTGGCGGCATCTGACTTTGTGTCTTTAAACCAGTCTGAAAAGGAGCAAAGCATTTTGTGTTTAATTTCATGAGCCAAACTGATAGGACTGCTTAATTAAACAGAGTGTAGCTGTTGTTCAACAAAACTGTGTCCTAAGCCATCTTCAATTTTGGCAAACTGTTAATCAGAACATTGATTTTCATGAACAATGTTGAGAAGGCCAAAAGCTGATACTGGAAGGATGTCTATTTAATTAAATCAACCCTCTTAAAGAGAATCCCTGAGGCCCACTGCATGCTTAGCAAAACTCAGGTTTGGGTTAGACCTCGTGTCAATAATTGGTCCATGGAATTTGTAGTTGCATACAGAGTACACAATCCTACATATAAATTGTGTGTAAACATAACATAAGCTGCCACATGCACAGTGAACACTATATAGACCAATTCAGTCTAAATTCCTTTTCATCATTGACTGGCTGTAAATCTCCATTAAAGAGCTGAAAATTGGTTATGTTGTTATCCTTTTAACAATGATTTCTTCAAACAGATAACCAATACCTTCACATCCTAGTATTGTGATAACTGTTTCTTTACTTCTAATATCGTACACACTTAATGCAATGAAAGTCAATTAATAAAAAACAATCACAAATAATGAAAAATCCATTCATTTGTGCTCCATACAGATTTTGGCTGTTAATACTCCTGACCAATACCACTTATTGTAAAGAGAGTTCATGCTGACAAAAACTGATTTCACATATCAATTTTTCAAATTATTTTAACTACTGTAGATTCAATAAACAAAACAATTCAGTACTTGAATCCAGTTCTGATTCAGGGAATTCATCAAAATTAGATGTGTCATCAATGGATTTAACATGAATTGGAATAGCAGCAGGTCTGTCCCTGTGGATTGGAAAATTCAATCTATTATCAATCAAATTTTAATTAATTATAATGGAAAGTTAGTACCGATAAAAAGGTACGGTAACTATAATAATTATAGAGCTAGCACACTGGTACTGTAGACATAAACAGCTGGTATCTTGTGATGTATCAATAGACTTTTAATTGATAGTTATGCCCTTAGCTCTTCCTGGAGCATAGGCCATCAATGATTTCTTTCTCCACTTCATCTTGTACTAGCTATGGGTTGGCCTTTCAAGGGAGGTTCAGGTGTGGCCCCAATTGTTCATCTCAGCCTGAACATTGCCCACGTGTTTTTTTTTTTCAGGTAGCCTCTTTCCTGCTTGCCTTGGGGAATCCATTTCAAGGCTTGCCTAATAACACTGTTGAGATGTTCCCTCAAGGTGTGGCCTCTACTACCTCTGGCTACTTTTTTACTGGGAATGAAAGGGAACCTAGTCAGATCTTTCCCAAAGCTCCTTGTTTGTTACTCTTTCAAAGTTTGAACATTTTGAACCAAGTAAAACGTAAACATCAGTTTAAATATGTACTAGCCATAGAAATTTCAATGTTTTAAAACAAAGGAGGAGTACTTTAGGTCTTTTTAGCTATTCCTATGATTTTAAAGTCTCAGAGAAATTAAAATGAAATAAGTTACCTTATGTTTTGCCAATCTACGTCATCAAAAAATTGGTGAGCTTTTATTTCATCTATGTTACTGAGCCTTTTATCTGGATCACAACACCATCTGAAAAGGCAAGCATACAAAGAGAATGTTGAAGAACACTTTGAATACAGTACATGTAAATTACCAAACATCATGGACAGCAACACAAACAAAATTATAACCTAAATTCAAGTGATTTTCTCAGTCAATAAAAAATTATCCATCATCATTGGCCCCAAATAATTATATTTTAATTATGTTAATTCACAAAAAAAGCAAATGACATCTGTTATTAAATGTCAGGGACTTTAAGCAAACAACGACGGCAACAGCAACAAGAATGTGGAAAAACAATAGATCTAATTGGCAGAAAAATAGCCCAGCACATACGTTTTAAAACTTTGTACATTTCTTAGCCATCCTTTGCAAAACGTCAACGCGAAATCACCAAAATGTGCGTTGTCTGCGAAGCAAAACTGGGGCGGCAAATTATTTTAATTTACATTTGGAACTCAATGCTACTTTTATGCGTCATGTTGAGTTTGAGGTTAGGCGCCTTATGAGACAGTAAACACATGCAGCCATTTTCGAAATTCTGAATAAAAGTAGAAACTAATTTTTTAATCAACGTCTTCCGTGGTGTTGCTGTCCTGACTGCTTAAAGTCCCTGTTAACTAACTCTGACAGGTTTGTTGCTGAGTGCAAATTTGCTTCTTGAAAAAGCCACCTGGATCTTTGGCTGACAATCACTCAGTAAAGCACAATGGACACTTCTGAGTTAAAAACTTACAATTGTTCAATATCAAACTTTATCCTCAAGCTACCTCACTTGAATTGAATTGAATTGAACTGAATATAGCCTCGAAATAAAAGTGGATTTAACCTTTCAACTTCCACAAGTGACCAAGACCAAATTTCCCCTTACTATATCAAGCAGACAAGTGCTGAGAATAAAGAAAATTAGTACAATTTCAGAGCTGAGCAAAGAGTTTCCAGCAATCTGATTGGTCGAGCGGTTCCTTATATGATGCAATATATAAACTGCTCCAAGTGGTTTATGTAAAATGTTAAAATAAAATGTTAATAAATGTTAATAAATGTTACTAAAATGTTATGATTTTAGAAATTTCTCTGTTGTTCAGCTCTGAAATTATACTAAAACAATTATTTGCCTCAGGTTCGGTGAATATTTAGTAAATAAACCCCTTCGGCCGGCTGATATGTTGGCTGGTAATGTCCACGGCTGAGAGATTTTCCAAAAAATGAATATTTGGCTGAGAAGCAAAGCTTCGAGGGAAAATATGAAATTTTGAGAACAATCTTGTAGCCAAGGACATTATCAGCCGACATACCACCAAGCCAGAATGGGGTTTATTTATTTTATAACCCTCCCATTAATTTTCACATCACAATTAAACTGTGTGTAAACACAGTAAAAAAGCCAGTGGTGATCTGGTGGCGAATGCGCATGATTGATGCAAGCAAGTAAAAAAAAAAAACGAGTTTGGTTTCATTCCATGTAAATAGGAGAATGGAAAAGTTGAAACTCTTGTGTTGACTATGTTTCTTTTTCATGGAAAAAATCGGAGGACAAATATCGACGCAGATGGGGGTTATTACCTGTGATTTTGCACCACGTGACATAAAGTAACCAATAAAATCGCACCAAAATTAATGGGTGGGTTATAATGTCAAATAATCCCCTCGACTTCGTCTCGGGGATTATTCAACGATATTCACCTCACCTTTGGCGAATAATTGTTATTAAATATCAAATAGGGGATAATTAGTTGATCCAAACCAAATTCTCCAAACTAACATCAGGAAAATTATATAGGACACAGTGAGGATAATTATGATGGAGATGTTGAAAGGGTTAACCTTTTGACTTCAAAGAGTGATTTCTCCTTACAGTGTCAAGAAAGGTGACAAGGGGAAAGCAAAATATCAACAGGGGGATATTGTACAATTTAACACTTAATTCTCATAGTGAAATCAATAAGATGTTTCAGCAAAAAGTGCTGAGAATTGATACTTTGATCTGGAGAATGAAAAGGTTTATTTGTGATTGGCTGAGAAAGAGCTGCAAGTTTTATAGACCCTTCACAGAGCATCGTAAAGCAATCACAAATGAATCCAGTTCTGGGTTACTTTCCACACTGATTTGAAAGTGCTATAAAAAACCACCAAAATACATACTTTTCAATTAAACCTCTCGCATTATCTGAAATGGGCATCTCAGGAGGGAAGATCAGTGTTTCTCTCCAGTTCATGACCTTTTTGTATGTTTCTATAACCACAAGATATCAAGTCAGTCAGCAAGAAGCTTGTGGGACAACAAAGTAACCGTGTCCACTTATTGACAGAGGTAACTACTAAATACAGGTTTCTATAATTGAAATAAATATGGAAAGGAAAATAGGGGATTTGGGCTGGTGTCTGCATAATACAGGACGTATTCACCAAAACAGAACCCACTCCAAACTAAAACTGCTGTGCACATATATGATATTCATATATTCTCACTCATCAATTCCATGGCCTATTCTCTTTTACATGCCTCATTGGGCATACCCTTGGAAAAAGGACAGTGCATTAAATCATGTTCATGAAAGTATGGTTGGTACAATTCTTTCAGTCTGTTAACATCAATAACTACCCAAGCAGAGATTTGGGTAAGGTAACAACAACAACAAAAAACAATTCAATGCTCACCTTGTGGGCTTTCTGAGCAAAATGGTGGATAGCCTGAAATAACATCATGAAAAAAACAAAACAAAACAGAACAAAAACAATTAAAAAAAAAAACAACAACAAAAATCAATGTGTGGTGGTGTGGCTTGCAAATGTTGTACCTATTCGAATTCAAATAGGTATAATTTACCAGCCATAGGGTCACGATAACAATATAATTAAGATAAAGATGGAGGGAGAGAACGGAGATGCCGGGATGGAGACCTGAAACATTTTTATTTCTACTGGTAGTAAATGTCACAATGGCCAATTTGCCTTTAGTTAATAAGAGTACAGACAATGCTGCTCCCATCAACATGTCACGCAACATGTCACTGAGGTTAGGATTTGATATCACATATTAATAAGCTGAGTCATACACAAACTGCAAAAGGTTAATTTATTTAAAATGATTATCTTTATTTCTCATACCATACCTATTAGCATTTCATACATGATCACTCCTAATGACCACAAGTCGCAGCTTTTATTATAACCTGTTTGATGAAAGACTTCCGGGGCAATGTAATCTGGAGTGCCCACTGTAGAATATGCCTGTCAATTGAATTTTTTAACATTTTACGAGCTTGCTCAACTCATGAACAATCCATTGAATACATTTGCAGATCACTTATATATCCAAGTTTAACTTGCAAATTGAATTGAATTGTTTATGTTGCATAAAAAATAACAACATTGATAGTAGTTCTGAAAAGGACTGTGACTGAAACTGACTGACAATTTGAAACCTAAGCACAAGCATTCAACAGAGTCAAGTGAGTGATGATAAGTTCCACCAAACGTTGGCTCTGGAACCACCTGAACAACTGTGCGATCCACAAGCGAATCAAAGGATTCTTCCAAAAGTACAATCATGGCAATTTTCATCCCACTTTAAGTGCAATACTGCATTTGACAATGACAGTGACTGGCATTTCAACAATTTGAGCAGAAGTAATAAGCAGCTAAGTGCCTCTATAATAATGATTCCCTCTCAGTTGTCAAATATTTATGTCACTACCTCCAATGACAGCCCTTTTTATGTAACACCCTCACTTGGATGATCGGACTTCACAGTCAGATCTTACTCTTTGGTTAGAGCCATTAAATATCGACATTTAATAGGTTTTGATGGACACCTTTACCTGAATTTTAAAAGCTCACCATTGATCAAAATCATAAACTTGTCCACCTTCTTGTCATGGGAAATAATTTATTTCAAGTTAAGAACTTACCAGTTGTCTCCTGTTTTTCTTCCATGTTGCTGCTCTGCCTTTTGTATCTAATGGTTCAGCTGACGCTAGAGGAAGAATGTACAGTAAATAATTTTATTCTTATCTGCAAGAGGACAGAGTAACAAATCCTACAATCTGATTGTTTTTTGGGTCAATCAAGATTTTTGGCAACACCTGCTCAAGTTTTTGTCTGCTTTTTTGCAAAAATTGAGGAGCAGTTTTTTTGGCACAAAACTTAAAGCAGGGTTCTTGCACTTTTTCAGGAACCTAATTCAAGGACTTTCAAGGACTTTTTATGTCATTTTCAAGGACCTTGGTTCTCAAATTCAAGGACCTATTGCAGTAAACAGGAGCTATTAATAGAAATAAAAAACATTCCATGCAGGACCGGCCAAAAGGTTCAACAAGAGTGACTTCAAGCATGCACATCAGAGTGATCACATGCTAGCTGGTAACAAGGTTATTTTCAATGCACCAATCAGGTACAAAATATATAGAAATCACCAGTCAAACATCCTAATTGGACATGGGATTCGAAAGGGAAACTTGTTTTCGCAATTTCTGCTAGAAACTTACACTTTCAACACCTTCAACAAATTAGAGAAAACTTTGACTTTGATTCATCTGCACTTATTTTCAAGGACTTTTCAGAAATTTTCAAGGACCTGAGTCTGACTTCAAGGGTTTTCAAATCCTTGAAAACAAAAAATGAAATTCAAGGACTTTCAAGGACTTTCAAGGAGCGTGGGAACCCAGTTAAGGTTTCACAAGAAGCTAAATTTAATTTCAATACAAATCTTCACCAAACAAGAATGTTAGAGACAATATCTGGGCAAAAACAGTCATCTAAAGTAGGAAACATGCTCTCTGTTTTGGTCTACTAAATTCACTGAGCATAATGTGTGCATGTATGTTGAAAAATTTACAGCAGTTACTGTTGATTTAGAGTGATTTCAGAGAAACACAGAGAGAAGAAAAAAAGAAAAGTTGTAGAAGGAAAATCAGACTAGCAAATTCAGTCACAGCTTTTCACTACATGAACTCCACCAACAAGTAACACACATTATTATGTCCTTACTACTAACAATAACTATTGAAACTTCACAAGGGTTTTTCTCAAGAATTTCTGAAATCTCCCTTGTTGACTAGAATTTTTTATTAATAAATAAATTTAATCAATATACAATTTCTTTAGGGAAGACAACTTCCTTCCCCCTTTCTGTACAATTTATGAACTTTGAACATTTTACTTTTCTTTGGATTAATCCATTCATATTGCCACAATCTTTAAATACCTTAAATAACAACAAGTCTTATTACTTACAGAAATCTTTCATATCAGTTGGTAAAATTTCTCTGTAAAATTCTGTTCTATGTGCTTTCTTGAGGCCGGTGCAAAGACCAAAATCTGCTAATTTGATGTGTCCCTATGAAAATAAAAGAACAATTCAACTTAATTATTTGCCTTACACTTGGAAAATTGGCTGTTCTCACTTTTTCTTTCCCATGACAGGTTGGGAGTATACCAGGTATATAAAAATATAATGCAAACAAATTGTTGGTTCACAACAAATGAAGGTTTTGTTATTTGAATGTTCGTTTGAAGGAACAAAAAAAAAATTAATTTTTAGTCTGACAAAGTAACTGAAAGAGGTACATACTTTGCTATCTAACAGCAAATTATCAGGTTTAATATCTCTGTAATAGAAAAAAAATAGTGTTTAAAAAAAATAAATCAGTAACCTGTCATATAACAATCAGTACATTAGTCAGATATCTGCAGATTTAAATAACATTCAATTAAATGAATTCACAATGCTTCCAACTAATAGGTACAGTGCACAACAAATAAAAAAAAAACAAGCAACAGTAGTAAAAAATACAATCCACATTGTTGTACATAACCACAAGTCTAGTGCTCCTGACCTATGAATAAATCCAACTTGGTGGATGGAATTAATTGCAAGAACTGATTCAGCAATGTAGAATCGCGTCTCTTCTTCAGTAAAAGTGTCTTTTTTCATGAGCATAGTCATAAGATCACCTAAAAAAATATGTAAAAGGTGAGAAAAGTAACTTGTTCAAGAACAATCAAATTGTAAAGCCTATAAGCATAGCCTCTAAAAGACAGCTGTTTGCTGGTACATTACATGATTTTCCAACCTGATTTTTAAGTCTGAGCAGTGGGAGACTTACTCTTTTGTAGACAAAAGTCATGTGCTTACCACCTGGAAGAAACTCCATCACTAAATACAGGTAATGTCTATCCTGGAATGAATAGAACATCTTTACCACCCAAGGATTTTCTGCCTCAGCAAGAATGTCTCTCTCTGCACGGGCATGGGCAACCTACATTTAAACAAATGGCAAAAAACCAGATCAGGTATGGAAAAGATATTTTTATGGGAGTTTGGGTCATCTAACAAAATTACCAGACAATTGCTCTTTCTTGAGTACCAAAAACACAAGCATATGTAGGATGCTTAATATGTAGACTTCACAATTGGTTTGTTCCATGAGCAACCTAAATTAAAATTCACAGTGCAAACCAGATCAGGTTTAGAAGAGCCAAATGTGTTTAACTGGGGTTTTGATTATATCACAGATTTACCAGAGCCCTTCTGCAGGTGACAAAAAAAAAACAAAAACAAAAACAAAAAATGAAAAACAAACAAACAGTGGGATTATGTGGACTACAAAACTCTTTTTCCATTTATTGAAGAAAATAAGTCTTTAGGACTAGTTTTCACCAAGTATTTTACCTGTTCCTTTTCAAGCATGTCTTCCTTTCTCAAGATCTTCATTGCATATACATGGCCTGTGTCATGCTTTTGTACTAAACGTACCTACCAGGAATACAATGTTTTCAACAGTTTTAATTTATCAATTACAAGGCTATCATTTTTCAAATACCTATTCAAACTTTACCAAATATCTCCTGTGGATGAATGTACATATCTTTAAATTACAATCATGATGTTTCTGGAGAAAGAATTTTAATATCACTCAGTGTAGGAAATTAGGTGTTACCATTCATTTTAATTTGTAAACATAAGCAAAAAAACATGTTTGCTTGGTTTAAAATATTTTCATTGAAAGAAGTTTTGAATGATTCTTATCTATCTAAAGTTGTTTTTTGTCTGTTACTATGTGCATCACTCCAAAACAATAGGGGGAAATTGAACTTTGTTTAGTTTGAACACTTTTACACTCAGGAAAAATTTTACATTTTTTTATGTACATAAAGGACAAAGCCAATTCAGTGAACCATTCAAATTTGGTACTATCTTGTTCATCATAATAAGAAGTGTGTTTGATATGGACTTAGCAATAAAACTTAGTGACAAAAAGGAACTAGATCATTTTCAAACTATAATAAAAGATAAAAAATTCTAAAAAAATTAGCATTAAATCTAACATAAGAATAACATATAACAACTTAATTATAATTTTTAGATTATTATTACCAGACTATTCTTTCAAACTCAAATGTTTAAATTGTTTGTAATTATGCAATTCTAACTTGAGCATCTTAATGCTTTTTACATTCTATTTAATATATGCTAAGTCTTTTTTTTAAATATTTCAGATTTTCCTAGAATTTGAAAATAATCTTGGAGAGACTGAAACATCAATCCTCTTAATCTTGTTGACAAAAATAATTCTGTAAATGTTTTGGGTTTACTTATTACATCTACAAGTTCCACACAGGTGACAAGTAAGTTTTGCTGAGTAATATTTAAGAAAAAGATTGAGGCCAGACACTAAATAAATTTATTCAGCGGTAGAAAGCTCTGATCCGTGTCACATGATTATGGAGGCGACAAACAACTTTTTCCCAGCTTTAAAATCTCAAGGCAATCCTCGACTTTTGTGTATTCTCACCTCACCAAAAGCACCACGTCCAACCACCTTTAATGAGTCAAAATCTTCCTTCCCAATTCTTGATCTTTTCAGTCTTAGAAATTCTGTTTCTTTCTTTGCAAGATGGCTTCTTGATTCTCTTTTCTAAAAGGAAATTAAATAGAATCCACAATGAATAATTCCCCAGGGATTCTTCCTAGTCCAAATATTGATACCTCAGTTTTCATAAAGTTTGAAAGCTTCCATGTTAACTAGGATTACCATAACCTCCTATAGCTGCTAAAATATATATTTGGTTAAAGTATAAAAACATAAGCCAAGTTCCAAAGAAAGTCCGGCTTGATCCTTAGTAGATCTCCTCTCTTTGCTTCTGCAGCACTGGTACTTTCCTCTACTTTGATAAAAAAGCTGACTCATTAGGTGATTTCCATCTCTTTTTAAACTGTACATTAATGTGAAGGTGTAGTCTGATCGTCTGGGTGAGTGTAGTCCTGAGAAGGACTGTTGTCGGTGGTAGTGACTGACGTTTTGACAACCTGTGCGGAAGTCATCATCAGAGTCAAGTGAATGATTGTTGTCAGTAGAATGTTCTTATTCCAGTTCGTGTAAAATGATCGGTTGGTTTTGCCGTGATGTCACTGGCTGTAAGACTCAAGTGACGTAAGTCGGTTGTGATTGGTCTGTTTCGATCTGTCGGTAAAGTTAGGTCGTTCTTTTTACTGCATTATGTACATTATTGCAACTTAGGAACAGATCAACAGACCATTGCCATCTTGATCTTTCTACCCTATCAAGGAAAACTGCACTGTATCGTGCAAGCAAGGTGAAAATATACCTGTAGCATCCGAGGGTGGAAAATTCTCTAACTAATAAGCGGAATATTCAAGCTAAATTTGATGGTCTAGAATACTTTTTGTTTCTATAGGGATGGTGATTTTACTCCTGTTAGTTTTCCTTGTTCTATACCATTGTATTTCTTCATTACAACCCAGTAGATGTAAGGTGAACTGTGAAACAAATAAAATGGAAACAGCCCAGGACCTGCAGTTAGCCTCTGAACTAACTATCCTGTTTGGGAAAGTGCATGAGCCCTAATCAGTGACTAGTCACTGAGCCTGTCCTTTGTCTTATACACTTGGGTATGTAAGAGCTATAACTCCTTCTCCAAAAGCCAACTATTCACAACCCCTCACTAAATCAGGTTCCCTGAAAATTTTACTGTTTACTCCTTTTTACTTTGTATAGACTGTATACTAAATTTGACTTGTACACTTGATTGATTAAGTCTTGGAGGTCCTTAGGTTCTAGCAAATAAGACCCTTGCAGTTATTTTTAAGCTTACTCTCAGAAAAACAGTTTAAACTTATCCTAAATATGAACAGTATAGAGTACAATTATACAATTTAGTAGCTCTTTGCATAGAAATTCACCCCCGGCCTCTTTGTGCAAAATTTTTCACTTTCTAGCTAAAATGTAGGTATTCTTTTGATTGCAGTGTTATCCTAATTTTCCACCAGTCTTCACCAGGAAAGCATGGCTTGGGGATAAAAGCGGGTATCTCCGCGTAAACATGACCAAGGCCTATGAAAAAATAATAGCTTCTCCACATGTGTACAAGCAGCTGACTTTTTTCTTGGGGCTATTTGCATTTATAACCCTACAGCAAATAATAAGTTTCTTCAGACAGATAACCATTCCAACAACTCTCTATCCTTTAAGAGTGACCAGCATCTAATTTGTCTTTAAGTTTCACCCTTGAATCAAATATAAAGGCCATGAGAATAAAGGAAATGATCTCCAATAAAAGAAGCTCCTAATTGTCACAAATTCTCCTTGTCAATACCACAGGAAAAGTAAAGAGAACAGTGTAAAGAATATGAATATTAATGTAAGATTGTAAAGTGTACAGAGCACAGGAGTGTGAACCCCTGAACGTACAAGTCATGCAGATTTTTTTTTTTAACATGACATCACCAATGGCTATATTGTGTGTGAAACACAATAAAACATTGGCTATATTGGTGGTCCTAACAATGGCTGTAGGAAATAATTAAAATGCACATTTTTTTGTTTTTTTTTCCTTTTTTGTTCCAGGAAACAAATAAGGCTACTTGTCACATGAAGGGACAAAATCTACACAGGTGTAGTAGACTGGAGGCTATTCTACAGAAAAACCATTTTGCAACCTACTAATAGCAAGTCCAAATTCTCTCTTCCTTGAGAAAAGTTACATTCAGGAATACTTCATGTACACAATAAAAAAAATGAATTATGTCAAAAGCAAAACCAAGGCAACATACACTTCATCAATCGACGATATACAAGTTTATGTCGTCACGTTCAACTCGATGACCTCAATAATTACTGATGGCGAAAACCAATTATAATATCCATGATGTTGATGGTGTTATTCTTGAGGAAATATAATGATGACGTCCAAACCTTGTTTTTCAGACCAGTGAAAATCTGTTTTGCACCGCAGCTTCGCCTTCGTGCTGCGTCTTTCAACTGTTATGGAAAATTTTCAAGACTCGTTCTGATATGCAAAAACTTTGCGCATTAATTTTCCGCTAAGCTGGCGATATTACGACACGAGCGTCCTCAAGTTTGTTTGCGGTTAAAATGCTCTAATATCCTATATGTCATTTTAAACTGCTGTTGTGCTATCAAGGTCGAAATTAAAGGACTAAAAATTAGATAAGTCAAAACATATATGTCATGCTTAGGAAAATATTCGAAGCAAAAAAACATTTAGCTTTAGTCTGCTCAAATACAATACAACACTTTGAATGAACTTTAGTAAACGTTCAGATATCTTAACTTATTTTCAAAACGACAAAACTCGTCTTTCGTTGTAATTTTAATTCACAGTAAAATTCGCCATCTCTGCCATCCCAAAGTAACAACATTGATTTTATATGTCAGTTTCAAGTACTAATCTAATTCAACTCAGGTTTCGTGTACGTTGTCAAGTTTCGATAGCTAGTCATCGTAATTCATTAATTCATAAAAAAAAAACTTAACGCACTGTAACAAAACCTACTGAAGGTTCCAAATGTATCAAAACTTCGCAACAATATCCAGGAAATACACGAACCACTTACCTCTTCTTCTGTCAGGCCTTGTTTTTCCATATTCATTTCCAAGACTTTCCATCTAAAACAAGAAAACCAATAATTACTTCAAGGCCACAACTTTCGTACATCTTTTTTACACAGCAAGCTTCTGGCCATGGAAAGTACTTCTGCTGTGAATGTACTAAACTCGACGAAGTTGGGACTCCAAAATTATTTTACACCGAGGAGATGTTTTGCGATCAGACCTGTTCTGTCTCTCTTGGTGTTGAGTGATCAAGTTCGCGTAGAAGCTTTCAATCGTGGCTTTGGTTTTCGCCACCTTTTCAAGAGTATGGTTGGAGTATTTATCGGCAGCTCCATTTGTACTCATGGCTGTGTTAGCCAGCGACAAAATTCTAGCCGGAAAAAGCTTTTTAGGCTTTTAAGACGGCGACGCTCTTAACACCACTGCCTGACGTGACCGAGAAGTGTTACACTTAGTCACCAGTTCTCCGGTAACGAAAGTCAGACAGGTAAACTAACGTAAGAATTGATTGGTTACTGTATGAGCTATCGTTTTTGGTTAATTTTCTTAAAAGGCCTATGATTGGACAAAAGAATTCTACATTTTGGCGCGAAACATTCATGACGTCATTGGAAAAAAGTAGCTGGCGAGGGAGGGGAGGGGTTAAAATGATTCTTGTTTGCCGCTTGCAAAGAGGTGTTTCCTTCCGGCCCTGTATCAAAGAAAGAAAACATCATTTTTGTGTAAATGACATGGCTATTACCTTGTGTGATTCGAGCGACAGAAGTGCTCTAGCCTTAACCAATTGAAACTGACTTATTTGGTTCCATGACCGTAGATGGATGGGGTGGCTGGGTCCAGCTTTAGCCATCGCTGGCATGGACTTGGTCAGTGGCATTTTTGTTGCTTTTAAAAAGACAACAAAAACCTGTTTATATAAAAAGCCTCAAAAATTAAAAATGGCGACCAGTTTTAAAAAGAAAAGTGGTCGCGGACGCGCTGTTTATCCCCCAGGAACAAGGCCATCTCTCCATAATAATCAACTTTTAGTATCTTCTGGAGTTCCATCTATGGACAACGTTATAGGTGAGACTCACTGACTCAGTCTGTTGCGAACAAGCTTACTATCCACCCTGACAAGTCCAAATGCATTATCTTCCATCCACGGCGTAAACAGATTGATCTCTCCAAAGTTAACATCTATATAAATAACACTCCTGTAACCCGGGTGGAGAAATGTACATTTCTTGGAATTATCATTCATGAAAATCTCTTATGGAAACATCATATTATTACTGTCTGTGATAAGGTCGCTAAGGTTATAGGAATTTTACGTAAATCAAGACGATATCTACCCTCGCATACCCTAAAAACTTTATATAATTCTCTTTTCCTACCATACATTAATTATTGTAATTTGA